CTAATATTTTTTTTTCTATTTTGTTCTATTAATTTTTTTTATTCTTAAATTATAACATTTTTTTTTTATATATATATATATTTAAAACTAAATAATTTTTTATTATTCAATATAGATATTTAATATTTTATTTTTTATTAAGATATAATATTTTTTTTTAATATTTTTATATTAAATATTTAATTGTATTTAAATAATTAGTTTTCTTTTTAATTTAAAATGTCTTTAATATATTTTATTTTAATAAATATTTTATATTTAATAAACAAATAAATATTTAATTTTTATTATTTATTAATAAATAAATTATCTTTAACATATATTAAAATATAAATAAATAAAATAATAATATTTTTTAATTATAATTTGTAATTATATTTATTTATGTTAAATAAATACAAATATTTATCCTTTGGAATTTTTATATATTAATAACCTACATTAGGTCCTCATATAATATAAAAAATCTTAAATTTTCTATATAAAATTAATATTAATTTATTTAAAAAATTATTTAAGTAATATTAATATCCTAATTATCAAGGTGCAGTTTATAAATTTTGAAAGATCTTTACTTAATTATATTTTTATTATAAGCTTATTATCTTTTTTCTTATATAATGGAACATTTATTGTTATAGTGCTTTAAAAGAGATTAATTTATATTTAAAAAGAATATATATTTTTTATGGATTACATAATATTAGTAAGTTTTTTTTTTTTTTAATTAATTTTTTTAGCAAATTAATGTATTATTTAAAAATAAAAATTATATTAATTAAAATGAATTCTAATTAATTAAATTATTTTATAGAAAAATAAAATATATTAACATTGAAAATGGAAAAACCAAAAACTAAATCTTATGAAATCAACAAACGAATTTTCTTTTATAAATAACATGTAATTATTAATTTTTTGAAATTGAATAGCTAGAATAGTACTTTCTTAATCTTAAAAAAATAATAAAAGAGACATAAGAAAATAATTAAGATTAATTCTCTAAAGTAAAAAAATAAAATATCTTAATTTTTATTCGAAAGAAAAGCAAATAATGGATAGTTAATTTTGCTTAAATTTAGTTTTTTTTAAAAAAATAAATTTTTATGTAAATTTTTGTTTATATAATTTAAATTAAAAAAACAAAAAATTATATATAGAAAAACAATTTATATTCAAAAAAATTTGGTTTATATTGATTTTTATAAAAAAAATAACATATATTAAAATGACACCAGTATCTTTAATGATACTGGTTATTTTTCCGATAGTTGCCCTATCGAAATAATTATAAATATCTATATCATAATCTGTTTGTTAAAAATATCATAATCAACATCTTTAGCTATTTTATAAAATAATAGTAAAGATAGAATTATAAATTTTTTTTAAGTTTTAGTTATAAAAGAATAATTATTGATTTACTCTTATGAAATCTTTAGTTATAATATATAAAAGCTAAAAGAATAAAATTAATTTTAATATAATTATAATTTTTTGATAGAATAGATAAATTTTATTAAAAATAATTATTTATATTATTTAGCTTGACTATTATTATTATTATTATTAATATTTTTTTGTTTAAACAAAACTATTCTTAATTACTAATATAATAATATAAAATTAAAAAAATATTTAATGTTATATATAAAAAGCAATGATAACAGATTATTATTTATTCTTACTAGCAAAAAAATTTATATTTAACGATTTTATTTAGTGTGATAAAATATAAATTACTAAATATAAATATAATAAAGTAATAAGAATTAAAATTCTAAAAAGAATAAAATAAAAATAGATAATAATTATATATATGTATTAATTTTTTTATTAAAAATGAAATTATAAATATGATTGGATATTTTATACTTAAAAATATATAATTTAATATGTATATAAAAAAATAAATATTTAAATTTGAAAAAAAGAAAATAATATAATAACTAATACAGAACAATTAAAATTAAAAAATAATACAAAACATTAAATAAAAATGGGACAGTTTTGCAGTAAATTATGCGGAGAATTTTCAAATAAAAACGATTAAAATATGGATGATATAAGTAAAATAGTATAGGAAGTAAAAAAAAAAACATTATCTGAAAAAGGAAAAAAAAACCCAAATATAAATTAAAATAATAATAGTAGCCAAACAAGTACCCTTGATGAAGAACAAAAATAAAAAATAATAAAAAAAATAGACAGTTATAAATCATTAAAGAATAACAATAGTTTTTTACATGCTATAATAGAAGAAGAAGAATAAAATGGAATAGTTGATTCATCTGAAGATTTTTTTAGTGCTAAAAACTTTAAGAAAAGTGACAATAAATAAGAAAATAAAGCTTTAATAGGGGAGGAAGTAATAGAAAATAAGAAAATATTAGGCTTTGAATTATAAAATTATGAAAATATAGCCAAAAACGCGATTATAGAATTTTAAAAAATATTAAAAAATGATGAAAATGATAATTATAAATTAAAATTAGAAGTAAATGATATAAAAATATATTTACAACCTGTTTAAGATAAGCAATATAATTTTTTCAAAATTAAAAGCGAATATGAAATCTTAAACTTCAATTTAAGTATAGAATCTATTTTTGAATTTTTAAATTTAGAATTTTGTAAAGACATTGATAAATCCTTTCTTATTGAAAAAAATAAATTATATAGTTTACATTATGTTTCTTTTAAAAAGTATTTGTTTGCAGATGCAAGAGATTTTGTTTTTTTATAATTTATTTCTTAAATTTCAGATAACTCTTTTATTTCAGTTTAAGTTTCGGTTGACCTTAAGGATTATCCATCTTTTTAAACTATTTAAAGAGGTAATATAATTCTTTAGGGAAAACTTATTACTTCGGCTGATGATTAAGTTGTTAAAATTATTGATTATATCGAATGCAATCCTAAATTAACTATCTCCCATAAAATATAAGAACCTATACTAATAAATTTTACAAAATAAATTATTGATAATTAAAAAGGAATTCTTAAAAGTTATTCTTGATTATATTATTTATATTTTTATAAATGTTGAAATTTATATTTTTATAAATTATATTAATATCAGGGAAAGTTTTAAAATATAAGGAAGATAAAAGAAGTTTAATTTTTTAGAAAAAAAATATGTCAAATTTTTTAGGAAAAAAATGCATAATTATGTTATATTATTATATTATTTTTCAAAAACATTATATATTATTTTATCTTATTTTTATATTTTTAATAATATTATATTTTTGGTGGGGGACCTTTTTTTTCAAATAAATATTTTATAAATAAAATTATTTTTTATAAAACAAAAAAAATATATATAAATATAAATAGTATTAAAAATTTAAAAAAGATACAATAAATTTATTAAATTTTTTAATAATTGATTAAATAAAATTTTATATATAAAAAAAAATTTGTAAATTAATAGAAATACTTAATAAATAATAAGAAATTAAAAAACAAAACAAAAAAAATATAATAAATATCTTTTATTTTTTCTTAATATTTTTTATTATCTTATTTTTTGAAAACAATCAAGAAATAAAAAACCTAAAATCACAAATTTTCAATAATAATAGCAGATGCTCCACCTCCTCCATTGCAAATACTAGCAACTCCATATTTACCTTTATTTTATTTTAAAACACTAACTAAAGATTAAACCAATCTAGCACCAGACATTCTAAAATTAAAAAAAATGATTTAAATATAAAATAAAATAAAATACCCAATAGGATGTCCTAAAGCTACAGCTCCTCCATTGACATTAATTTTAATAGGATCAATATCAAAGAGTTTCATATTACATAAAGCAGTAACTGCAAAAGCTTCCGAAAACTCATAAAATTCAATTTATTATTACTTCATTCCAGCCAAAACGAGAGCTTTTTAAGCTGCTTTAGTAGGTGCAATACAAAAGTCAATTGGATCGACTTCGGCGTCTGCAAAAGAAATTATTTTAGCTAAAGGTTTAATATTTAATTCTTTTATTTTTTTTTCACTCATTAATACTAAAGAGCATGCTCCGTCATTTATTTTGGAAGAATTTGCAGCCGTTATAGTCCCTGTTTTTGAAAAGGCAGGCTTTAATAAAGGGATTTTTTCTTTTCTGAATTTTTATGGTTCCTCATCTTATGAAAACTATTTTTTTTTATTTTTTTTATTTTTTTTTATTTTACTGTTTCTTTATCATTTAATTTCACTGGAACTATTTCTTCATTAAACTTTCCTTATTTTGCTGCTTATAAAGCCCTTTCGTATGAAGAAATACAGAAATCATCTTATAATTATCGGGATATTTAAAAGTCTTATGCTGTTTTTTCAGCACATACTCCCATTGCACATTTATTATAAACATCAGAAAGACCATCAGTTGCTAAACCATCAAGTAATTATTAATTTCCATATAATATGCCTTTTCTATACTATTTTTTTAATTTAATTGTTTTGTTTATATATTTATATTTAGTTTACATTCATGACATAAAATGGAACATTTGACATACTTTCGAATCCTCCTGATATTATACAATTAGCAGCACCTAATTGTATTTATTAAGCAGCAAAACTTACTGCTTTCATTCCTGAAGAACATACTTTATTTACATTTGTAGCAATTGTTGTTATTGGTAATCCTATTTTTAAAAAAAAATATTTGAAGTAATATGTATTAATTTATTATTATAAAAATTAAACCTGCTCCTAATATAGCTTATCTAGCTGGATTTTAACCTAAACCAGCTGAACATACATTTCCAAATATTGCTTCATCAACATTTTCAGGGGAAATTTATTTAGATTCAAGAGCTGCTTTTATTGTTAATGAAGATAATTCAGTAGCTTTAAATTAGCTTAGTTTTCCCATCAGTGAGCCTACAGGTGTTCTTTTTGCAGCCACTATATAGACGGATTATGTTGAGAATTTTCTGGCTATTTTCATTTATTTAATAATTAAGATAATTTTTCAATTTATTATTATATTTAACTAATTTTTTATTTAATAAATATAAATATATATATATATATATATATATATATATATATATTGTTTAAGCAATAAAAATATTGATTATTGTTTATAAATATTATATTGATTTCATTTAATAAATAAAAAACATTATCATATAATTATCCAATTAGAATTTTTGAGTGATTAATTATATTTATAAAAACATAATTATAAAAAACTTAAAGTTTTAATAGTTTTTATTATGACAATTGATTATATAGATAATTGAAGGTTTTATGTTTTCGTTTTAGTTATAAGAGAATTAAATATTGCAAATTATATGATTTTTAATATATTTTTCAAAACTATATTATTATTATTATGATTAATTTCATAGAATTAAATTTCATTTAAAATTCCTTGTAAAAATACAGATATGAAATATTAACACGATAGTAATATTTTCTATATTTTTAATTATTATTTTTATAATAAAATAAATTATTTTAATAATAACAGTTAAAGCATAAATATGATTAAAAAAAAATAAGATTATATATAATTATTTTTATATAATTGATATTATTAATCATATCTTAAAAATATATTTATTATTAAATTAAAAAAAAATTATTTTGTACTTTATTTTTTTAATAAAAAATATTATATTATTTATATTGCCTTTTTTTTTTTTTCCTTAAATTTTTTATTTAAAAACTCAATCATAAAAATAAAAATCGTGAAAATAGATTTTTTTTTTTTTTTTTTTTTGGATTAATTTTTTTTTAAAAAAAATAAATAATATAAGCAAGTAAAATATACAAAATATAAAAATACCAAATATTAAATTATAAGTATCCTTAACTAAAAATACAATTAAATGGATTAAAATATAAAAATTATTCATTTAGACTCTTTAATATAAAGAGATCCTTCAAACAAAATAGCAGATATTCAACCGCATCATAAAAATATTGAAATAAAATTTATAATATTAAAAAAAAATTAAGTCATAAAAACTAAATAAGGAAAAATCATTACTTAATTGCTTATTTCAGATAATTCAGGAAGTATATTAATGAATATATTCGATGAATGTATCAATTAAAATAAATATATATGTATATATTTTTTTTAATTAATTTTTTCAAAGTTGGAGATTAATTATAATGTGGGGATTATTGTTATACATAAAATGCATATGCAGCTATTTATAAGGATAAATTAGTTCTTTATTAAGGAAAGTAAGGTATATTAAAAAAATTAGGAGATTTTTTCTTTGATTTTAATCCTAAACCGAATATAAGTAATAAAAATTGGTCTGATTACGTTTAAAATAAATATAATTAATGATTATTTTTAATATATGAAAAATAAAAATAATGTATATATTTTTTTTTGTAAGAATTTTATTAAAATTTATATAAAATGTATCAATTATTTATAATTATATGTATTTAAATATATAAATGAATACTTTATCATTTACTTATCTTAAATTTATGTTAATATAATGTCTTAATATACCATAAATATAATATAGTTTTAATTTTAATACATTAAATAAAAAAATTATAATTGTTTTGCATTTTTAAATATCAAACCATTAAAATAATATAATATTATGCTTTTTTAAATCTTTAAAAAAAAAAATATGATAATATTATAATTAAAAAAAAATTATTATTTTAAAAAAAGCTTTTTTATATTATTAAAAAATAAAAAATAATACAAAGTTATATGCATTAATATTATAAAAAAAAAAATAAGAAATTAAAAATAATTTATTTTTATTATTTATATTAAAATATAAAAAAAATTAAATAAAAACTCAAATGATAATCACAAAAGGTTATTGAAAGTCTTAAAGAAGTATAAAAATTAATTTGTAATGAAAATTAAAAAAATAAAAATAAAAAAAAATATAATAAAATAAATGAAATGATTAATAAAATATAATAGAAAATTTAAAAAAAAAAAATAAAAAAAAAATATAAATTAACAAAAAATTACAAAATATAAATTATTAAAAATATTATATTTATATATATATATATTTATAATGTATATATTTATATATTTATTTATGTATTTATGTAACGATATTTCAATTTTTTATTTGACAATAATATTTGCTCCAACATACCCCAAGAAGATATTCAGCAGTTATGGATCTAGAACTAAGCTTATGTAAAATGTATCCTATTTGTTCAACTTTAAGATAGACATTCTTCAATCTTTCAAACATACATTTATTTTCTAAATTGAGGTAGATATATCAATTTCTTTATTTATTTATTAAGACAAATTCTATTTAATAATTATTAAGCATTTTATTAATTATTTTATTTTTATATATTATTGAATTTTTTTTTTTTTATTTTATTATTTTTATTTAATAATTATATATCAGAAATATAAACTTCCAGTTTAAATCAAGAATTTATTATTAAAAATATTTTATAAATACTTTTTATTTAAATTTTCTTTATTATAATAAAAAAAAATATTTAATTAAATAAATCTATTAAGACTTGATTTCTGGAAAAAAATTTGAAAAATATAAACAAAAATAAAATAAATTAATTAACCAAATTATAATTTTTAATAATTAAAATTAGTGTTTTGAATGGACTATCGATAAGTTAGCTTCTTAAGTATTTTTTTTAGAATATAATTATACTTGGAATGAACTATTATTATAAAGTAAGTATAGATTCAATTTCTATTAGTCATATTCTTGCTAAACATAATATATAATAACAAGAAGTTTGTGCTATAAATATCCTTATATACACTTGGAAAACCTTATAGATTTTTATCGATTATAAGATCCTATATAAAAAGAAAAAAAGAAAACTAAAAAATGATTATAATTAGAACAAAAAAACTAACATAGAATTGAAACATTTTAATTAATATAAGAAGGATATAATAATTAATTTATAATGTCAAAAGTTCCTTTTTTTTCAATTCAAATTAAATACTCTCTAAGATAAGCTTTAAAAAAAAATGGAAATTTAGAAATTAAAAAATAAACAAAACCTAAAAAATTAACAAACGAAATGCAATGATGGCAAAACAATAATTATAATACATAAGAGTTTATATATAAATCTGCTTTATAAATTAAATAATCTATGTATAATTAGTTAAGGACTCCTAAAGATTAGTAGATGAATTTAAATAGCTTCATTCTCAATTTACATAATAAATTAAATTTATCTTATAAAAAAGTAATTATGTGAAACCTGTTATGGAGGACTCTATAACATTAAACCAAAGGTACTAATTTATTATAGAAATTATAAGTTCGTTATTAAATGATATGGTACAAGTATTCATTGATGAAACTGGTGTTAATTTTATTACTAATAAAATATATTCTTGAATAAAAAAGGGAGAAGAGCTATTATTAGAAATGAATAAAAGTTCTAAAAAATATACAATTTTAGGCGCTATGAGCAATGAAAAAGTAATTGCATATATGGTAATACAGGGATATTGTGATCAATATACTTTTATGGGTTTCCTATCAAAAATAATAGAATAATTAAAAAATGAAGTAAATTTTAAAAAATATATATTTATTTTTGATTAAGCTTAACAACATTCAATCTAATAATTCACCTGAATGCTTAAAAAAAATAATACCTTATATTTATACAGCAAGAAATAAACCGTAAATGAACCGAATAAAGTATTTATGGAGTTAAATTATATATATATATATATAAATATAAATATATATATATATATATATATAAATAAATATATATATTTTATTTTATTATTTTTTTATTTTCTTAATCTCTTATCTTTCAATTATTTGTATCGTTATTTAGAATATTAATAGTAATTTAATCAAAAACTTTTTTTTAATTTAATAAAAATCATTTATTATATAAAGACCTAAATTAATATTTTTTATATAAGATATAAAAGCCTTATATAAAAATAACTTTTAGTATTTACTTCTATAATTTTGAAAAATAATAAAATATAATACATATATTAAAAATTAAAAAAAAATGAACAATCATAAATAAGATTATGATGCAGTGTTAAAATTTTTAGTAATTGGTGATTCTGGTGTTGGTAAAACTTGTGTATTATTAAATTATTGTGAAGGTACATTTACGAATGTACATTTAACTACTATAGGAATAGATTACAAGTTAAAATAAGAAGAAATAGACGGAAAGCGTGTTAAATTACAAATTTGGGACACTGCGGGATAAGAAAGATTTAAGACTATTACTGTCAATTATTATAAGGGTGCTATGGGTATTGTTCTTGCTTACAGTGTAACTGATCCTAATAGTTTCAAAAATATTGCTGATTGGATGAAATAAATTAATGAACATGCTGATGCTAATGTTAAAAAAATTATTATTGCAAATAAGTGTGATATGAAAGATGATAGAAAAGTTAGTTAAAAGGAAGGAGAGGAATTAGCTGAAAAATATGGCGTTAAATATTTCGAAACTTCTGCTAAGGATGGATAGAATATTGGTGAAGCATTCAAATCTATTGCAAAATAAGCTTTAGACAATATAGATATAAGTAATATGAAAGGAGCTGGTATTAATGTACATGGAAATAATGCTAATAATAAAAAAAAGGATGGATGTTGTTGATTTTTTTTTAGTATATTATATATTATAATATGCTTTTATATATTTTTTATTTTATCATTAAAATACTTTATATGTTTGCACATAATTATATTTTATTTTTTAAATAATTATATATTAGTTTTTTTTTTTTTTTCTTTAATATATTTTTTGTTTTTGTGGTGCTTTATATTTTTTAAATATATTTATAAAATAAAATACAAAAGAAAAAAGAAAATACTAATGTTTTGATTTAATAATAAAAAAATTATATTTAATTTTATAAAATATTAATTTTTATATTTATTTTGTTAAAGTTATTCTTAATCTAATATTTTTATATTTTTTAAACTTGTATCTTCTAGATTTGCAATATTTTTAATATATATATTGAATTAACCTTTATTATAATCTCTTTCTATTTTATTTATAAAAATAATATATTATAATATACTCAGATTATAAAAAATAAACTATTAAATTATGAATTCTTCTTATAAAAAAAACTATTTGTAAATAAGAGGTAAGCTAATCAAAAGATGATACAGAAATTTAACTATAACTATAAATATTATTTATTATTTTATATTTATAAAACCTATTATTTTATTTTTTAATTATAATTTGTAAATTTTAATAAATAAAATAATTTATAATTAAATATATATAATTATAAAAAAGTAGATGATTTTTTATTTTTTTTATAATAAACAAATGATATTAAATTATATATATAAATAAGTATCTATATTCTAATGAAGATTTTATTTAATTATATTAAATAAATAAAAATATTAAGAATATAATTAAACACCATTGTAAAATATAATTTTTATATTAATAATTCATTATGAAAATAATATTTTTAAATATTTAGAAGTTTTTACATTTAATTTATTTATTAATTAATAAAAAAATTACATATTATTTAATAATTTTTTTCTAAATATTATACAATTTAGAAATTTATAAAATATAATAAGTAAAAGAAACAATATTTATCTATATATATATTTTTTTTTTAATAAATAAGTAAAAAATTTAAAATATTTAAAATAAATCTATTAAATTTTTATTTATAAATAAAATATAATTTTAATATTAATTAATAAATAAAAAATAAATTGATAAATTTTATATATAAATATACTATTATTTAATTATTATTTTTATTTAAAAAAAATTATTAAATCAAAATAAAATTTTATTAAGTATAAATACAACACAAAAATAATTAAAATAAATAAAAAAATTATTTTATTTGGTATACTTTTTTAACTATACATATATAAATATATTTAATATAAAAATAACTTAATTGAATTAAATAAATATATATGTATTTAGAGCAATAATAATAAAACAATTAAATTTGTATTTAAAATTTAAAACTTTCGTTTAATATATAAGAAATGTAAAAAAATTAATAAAATTAATTAATTTTAGACTAAGAAGATTTAAATATAAATCGATTTAGATAATTTTCCTCAATGAATTATAATGAATACGTTAATTATTTTTAAAAAACTCCACCATGTCCAAAGATAATGTATTTATATATTATTATTATTTTTTTATAAAAATTAAATTTTATAAGACCATTGAAATCAGTTGATATAAATGAACAAAACTTTTATCTTGAAAGTCCTTAGAATAACTTTAAGTATCCAAATCATATTTTTTGTATAAAAACTAAAAAATAGTTAAGAGAAATAAATTGGAAGCAAATTACAAGGCTTTAATTTAGATGAAGTAAAAATAAAATAAAATAGTAATGATAACTCTAATAGAAATAGATGTTAAACAAATAACGTAAATATTAGTATCTTTAAATTTTGTTAAAATATGAGAAAAAAACAAAATACTATTACAAATTGATTGATAAAAAATAAATTAAAATAATTGTTTTTTATAAAAAAACAATAAAGTTGTTTTTTCCATAATATGATTCTACAAAGTTTAAACTTTTTTATTTTATTATTATTAAATTTAATTTTATTTAATACTTTTTTTAATTGTAATTTTAAGATAATATAATAATATTTAAAAATCATGGTATTAAAAATAAATATCATTTTATAATTAGTTTGTTTAACTTCTATTATTTATATAAAATATATTTATTTTTCTAAATAAAATAACTAAAATAATAAAACTTATATATATAATATTTAAATAGTTAATTTTATATACAAGTTAAAAAAAATAATGACAATTTTAAAATTATAATAAAATAACTTAAATCAAAATTCATATCTTATAATAATTAAATATAAAGAAATATTTTTAATGATTAAGAAAAATATTCTGATTTAAAATAAATAAATAAATATATAAAGATATTTTCTTTATTGTTCAAAATTAATAAAAAATAACATATAATTTTCAAATCAATAAAAAAATATTAAGGATTATAAGAATTTACTAAAAACAAAATAATTATGAGAATTAGATGAAATTAAAATATGATTTGAATTATTTTAATTTATTTCGCAACAAATAATTATAAACTGTTTATAAACATAAAAAGTCTTGTATTTAAAATTAAATTAATATTTTCTTTAGTTTTTTTTTAAAAAAATTCAGTTAATTAAGTTTAATTTATATTAAAGAATATAATAAATAATTAAACATTTTTTTTATAAATGATAAATACATTTTTTTTAAAAAAAATGAAACTATAAAATTTTTAAAAATAATGAAAATAAAATAGCATTATGTTAATATTACTTAATAAATTGAAAATAAGGAATAAAATATAAATTTTAATTTAATTTTAGAGTAAATAATATGAATAATAATAATTTTATTTATTATTTTGATAAAAAATAGACAGAATTATTTATATAATAATATATATATTAAATTAATAAAGAAAATATGATTTAAAAAAATGTCAATAAATCATTATTTTAGTAAAATATTCAATAAAAATATTTTGATTTTTTATGATATTTTATTAATTTTTTTTTCAAAGAAAAAATATTTGTAAATTCATGATTTTTATATTTATTATAATTAATTACTTTTTTTTAAAAAAAAAGGCTTCTGAAATAAAAAATATAAATAAGAAGAATTAAAAAAATGTAAAATAATATTAATGAAGATATTCAAGATACAGGAAAATTTACATGCTATGAAAATTGTATTTCTTGTTTAGGAAAAGTAGCAGGATGTTTATCTTTAATACCTGGTTTTTGTTGTTTTCCATACCCTTATTAATAAATAAAATAATCTTATGTTGGATTGTTAGAAAAATTCGGGAGATACTAAAAAACATTAGGACCAGGTTTGCATCAAATAAATCCTTTTAGTGAGCAAATAAAAATAGTGAACTTAAAAACAAATGTATTTTAAAAAAAAAATATAATTAAATTTAAATTGAAGTATAAAAAAATTATATATAAATATATAAATATTCAACTATTATTTATTAAAAAAAGGTTATTGATTTAAATAGATAAAGTATAATCACTAATGATAGCATAATAGTTAATATAGATACAGTTATTTTTTATAGAATTAATGAACCTTAAAAAGCCTAATATAAAATTTAGGATTTAAATATGTCTTTATAAGGTATAATATTATTAATAAGAATTTGTTATTTTTTTTAAAAAAAGAACTAACATATGCATGCTTAAGGACTGTCTGTGGAGAAAATAATTTGTAAGTATTATTAGATTAAAGAGAAGATATAAATTTAAAAATAGGAGAATTTATGAACGCTTAAACCAAATAATGGTTTTTTTTTTTTTAATATTATTATTATATTTTTATTTTTTTTTTGTTAAAATAAAAAGGGGAGTTTTTGTTGAATAAGTATTCATAAAAGACATGATTTTAGATAAAAATATTGTTGAAGAATTATCTATGGTCCCCAAAAGTAGAAGAATAGCGTAAAGTAAAATAATTTCATGCTAATCAGATGTTTAAAGTGCAATACTTTAAAGAGAAGCATCTGATTTACTTGCTGCAGATTCTGCTATGTAAATAAGGTATTTTGATACTATATAAGATATTGCATAATTTTAATCAGCTAAAACATTATTTATGATTTTCGATGGAGAATAGGATAAAAAAAGAGAATAAAAATGAATATATATGTATCATAGTAATATATTATTATTATATTTTTTTTTTTGTAAAAAATTCAATATTTTTTTAATTAATCTTCCTAGTCACACTTAATACATTTGAGAATTTTATATTTTGGTACACAATTCTATTTTTTTTATTTTATTAAAGTAACAAAAAAATAAAAAAATACAGTATGTGCTTTATGACAACATGTGAAAATTTTAATTTCATCATTTTAATTTAATTATTAATCACAATAAATACATTTTTTATTTATAAAACAGTTAGCCTTCAAGCTACTTTCTGTTGGTCTTAATCTTTATTAATTTTAACAAATATCACTTCTTTATACTTGTTCAGTTGTTGGAAGTCTTCTTTTTAAACTTTTTTGACTCTTACTAATTAAATTTTTATTTGTAGTCGAATATGTGGTTTGCTCTCGAAATCTTTGCCATTATTAAAAACTTAATTAACTTTTCCTTTAATTTTTAGACTATGTTAAAAAATTTTTTTCTATATCTTTTGATTTAGATATATATTTGATATTTATCTAACTTTATATTTAAATAAATATATTATTAATAAATATATTTTATTATTATATATACTTATTATAACTTTCTTCATTTAAATCTTATATACTTGTATTATTAATTTAAGCTTTTTAAGATGAGCTACTATTGTTTTTTTCTTTTTCTTTTTCTTTTGAATTTTCCCTTGAGTTTTATTTTAATTTCTGATTTTCTTAATTAAGTAATTAATTATTATTCTCTTAAAAATTTAGTTCACTTTCTGAAAAAATATCATTTATATATATTTATTTAATTTAGATCGGCTCTTATTATATAGGTTTTTAATTTTGAACTTCTTGTTAAGATTATATTGCTTTTTTAATATAATTACTACATTTTTAATCAGAATTATATTTGGAATATTTAAAAAAATTATCTGATTTTAACAATATAGCTTATACATAATTCTTTTTACCAATTATTTTTTAGACGAATCTTTCATATGTTTAAATATTTTTTTCATCAGTCAAATCAAAAAATTAATCACTATATTTGGTCTGCGAAAAGCTTGGTTCTGCTTTTGTTGTTTATATTTCGATTTGTATTTTATTTATTTATTCTTATTTAAAATTATTTGATTTATACTTCTTATATTTTGAGTTTTTATATTAATTTATTTACCTGAATTTTCTATTTAGTTTCTTTGAGAAAAGAAATCTACCTATATTATAAATTATTTATTAATTAAAATTTAAAAAATACTTAAGGATCATATTCAATTATTTTTTTGAAAATTGATTTTAAAATCATTTTTTTATTTTATTTTGTTTCTCTTTCTTTCTTTCTTTTTTTCTTTTTTTTTTTTTTTTTTTGATAAAAATTTTAAATTTAAAATAAAAACTATTTATAATTTTTTGTAAATAAATAACAAAATATTTGATCATTTTATATAAAATTTATAGCACAATAAATATTTTAATAAAATTAAAAAAGAAAACCAATAAAATTAAATATTTTTATTTACTAATATAAATTAATAAAACACGAGTTTTAATAAAATTAATAAAATTTTATTTTTTATCTATTAAATGAATCAAAGTTTATATGATTTATAATAAATAACTGAATATGAATTACAAAGGTTAAGAAAATAAAATTACCCTAAATATAAGCAAATTCTAAAATAATTTTTAAAAACATTTGAACCTAAAGATTTACAAAAAGTATTTTTTTTAAAAAAAAGGATTGTTAAAATTATATAATTATATATATATATATATATATATATATATAAACATTTTTTTTGAAAATATAAATTGTTTTATTTATCGAAATAAAAAATAATAGATTTCGTTATCAATAATTAAACAATAAAATGGAGAAAGAAATGAAGACGAAATTCAAATATTATAATAATGGACAAGTCAGTTTTCATTTTTTTAAGACATAAACAAGAAGAAGTAAAATGTAGATTTAAAATTGCATTAAAAGTGTTGCAGTAAAATAAGATATGAAAAAGCTTCAAAAGGAGAACCAGTTTTTATGGCAGGTTTTAATTAATTAATAGTTTTTATTTTTTCTTATTTTATTTTGTTTTTGAAAAAAAAAAAAAAAAAAAAAAAAAGGGGAAATTCCATAAAAATTCTATATTATTTTAAGTGGATCTGTTAATGTAATGATAGCAAAAAAGGCTGAACAATTATAATAAGATATACAAGAAGAAACTTCGAAAATGAAATAATTAAAGCCTTCAGAGTAAAAGAAACATATGATCAATCGAATTTAATAAATAAAATAATAATAAAACGAATAAAAGAATAAATAAAATAAATTAAATAAACATTATTCAGTTTAAATAAATGAGGAATAATTAAAATAATTAAATAATTTATATCCTGTAGATTAAATTCAGCCATTATAGTTTACTTCTTTAAGAACCAAATCTAAAAAACAGAAATAAGTTATAAAATAAATGAGCTTATTTCAATAAAATGATAATAATTATCAACCAAGTAAATTAAAATATTCATTCATTTAATTTATTTTTTAAAAAGGAAAAAGTGAAATTAATATTTTAGAAAATAGCTAACAAGAAATCGACTAATAAACAAATTAAGAATCATCACTATTAGAAATAAAAAATCAAGATAATGTAGATAATAGTGATATTTCTAAATTATTAGGTGATGTTGAAATAAATTATATTTACGATATAGATAAGTTTTTTAAAGATGGAATACCAAGACATAAATATGTTTTGACTTTATTTCCAGGATAAATGTTTGGAGAATTAGGTTTTTTTTTTAATTATTTTTATATAAATAAGTATATTATATTTTTATATAAATAAGTATATTATATTTTTATATAAATAAGTATATTATATTTTTTATAAATAATTATATTATATTTTTTATTAAATAAGTATATTAAATTTTTATATTAATAAGTATATTATATTTTTTATTAAATAGGTCTTTTATTAAAAAAACCTAGGGCTGCAACTATTTTAGCAAAGGAGAATTCTGAATTTGCAGTTATGAGTGGAGAAGATTATAAAAATATACTAATGACAGTTGAAATAAAAAAGATGAATGAGAGAATCAAATTTATTTCTTAAAACTTTTTTAAGGATTAGGAAAAGAAATAGTTAGTAAAAGTACTTATTTTTTTGTAAAAAAAAATATGTAATGGGAAATACTATTTATTAAGAAGGGAATATTTCGAATTATGTTTATTTAATATAAAAAGGTTCAATAGAAGTAGTTTTTTTTTTTTTTTCTAAATATTGTTTTCTTATTTTTAAAAAAGATCTTATGTTATAAAAATGTAGAAATTAATTATTAAAACTAAGTATAATAACATACAAAGTAAAATTAAAGATTCCAAAAAGTATTGATTAGGCTATCTTAACTTGGAGAAACTTAATGCTTTGGAGAAATAGAAGTTATTAGAAATACTCCAAGAAAAACTAATGCTGTATGCTAATCTTAAAAGGCTACTGTTTGGGAAATAAATTAATAAGTAATATATATATACATATATATAAATAATAAATAAAGAATATAAAAATATAAAGTAATTTTTAAAAATATTAAATGATAATAATTTTCTAAATTAAGAATTCTTAAAATAGATAGAATTAAAAGAATAATGGTATGAGAAACAGATAAACAGTATAAATGTAAAAAATACAGTAATAAAAGATTAATACTAATTTTTGAATTAAAAAATAAAGTTACAAAAATAAGAAATTGTAAAATTAAATAGGCATAAAATTGAGTATTTTAAAGAATAAAATTTATTTAAAAGTGAAGAAGATAAATTTATTTCAGAATAAGTTTAAACTGAGTTATTAAAGGAAAATGTTCTAACTAATTATAAATAAATAAAATAAATTAAACTTCTTAATGAATATCATTATTAGTATGTTTTAGATGATACGCCATAAAATTAAATTTTAACCTTAATGAATGAAATTTAAAGAGATAAAAAAGCATCTAATTCTATTCATTATGTAGATTTTCTAAAAAAAAGTTCTTTTAAATAAGATGAAAGTGTAAAAATAATAAGCTTTAATTTAATTTTAAATTATTAAAATAAAATAGAATATTAATATAACTACAAATTTATCTCATTTCAGTAGTAAAAAATAAGAAAATTCGACTGAAAATAAAAATATAAATGAATTTTATATTGATCATAGAATGAAAGGTGAGTCTATTAGTTTAGATCATCAAAGTTTTTCTAATAATAAATCATAAGAAAAAATAAAAAATGAAAATAAAATAAAGTAAATCTAATTATTTTAAAAATTTGAAAGATAAGATAAAGTTAAATTGAAAGATTCAAATATATCTTTAGAATCTGTTCATAAGGCTATAAATAAATAATTACAAAATTCTTAAGAAAATGTGAAATTCCCGAAAATAGATGTAAGTAATTTTTATAGAGATTAAATTCAAGAAATTTAATAATTAAATTTATAAGAAAAGAGAGAAAAGAAAAATAATATGATTTAAATATAATTTTAAAAAAATAAATGTCCTTATTACCTTCCTTTAAAAAAAGCAAAAAAATAATAAACATTAATTACTTCAGTTTAATTGGGAATCAATATGACATAGTCATTAGTAAATTCAAATATTAAATATTTTTTTTTTTTTCTTATTATTATAATTTTAGAATTTATTTTTTACAATTAAATAATTATTTTTTTCCTGATTATATTTTTATTTTATTTTTTAAAAAAAGAGTCCTGATTAATAAAATCTTATTGAATAAAATAAAACTTAATTATATAAAGAAAAATAAAATAATATGATTAAGAAAAAGGCCTTTATGTAAAATAAATCAAAATCTAATTTGTAAAATAATGAGGGCCTTTAGATACTTAAGATAAATTGTATTAAAAAATAAAAATATTGAAAAAAACAATTATAATCAAAATAAATTAAAATATAAAATAATATATTAAATATATAATATAATTAAATAAATTAAAAAAATATTAAATTGAATACTTTTTATTTATAAATATATATTTTTTGTTTAATTTAAAAATAAAATAAAAAATTATTAATTTAATTGTTATAAAATATCAAATCAAATAAAAAAATCTAAAAAAATGATAAATTTATACATAGAAAAAATAAAGTATTAATTTTCTATTTTTTTAAAAAATAAAAAAAAAACAAAATTAATTTTTTTAATAATTATTATCTAATATTATTTTAATAAAGATTTTTCTATTTTTTTTAATAAAAAATTCAATAGAAAGGTAAAAATTTGAAAATGAGAAAAAAAAAAAAATATTAATTATTAAATTTTTTTATTATTTTTTTTTTTTTTTCTATTTTTTATAAAAAAATTAAATGAAAAATTCATTTACAATAAAAAAAATAAAATAAAATAAGATATTTTTATTTAATATTAAAATAAAAATTAATTGAAAAAAAAAAAAAAATCTTTATAAATATATAAAAGTAAAATTATTAAATTAGTATAATTATTTAATTTATATATATATAATTTTTATATAATATATTTCCAATAATTATTGATATAAATGACATTCTTATTTTTTAATTAAAAAATACAAAAACAAAAAAAAAAAAAAATTCATTTCTTAATATATTTATCATTATTTTTTTGAAATTTATCTTTTTTAAATAGATTTATAATAGAATTTTTCAAGAAATTCATTTGTTTATAAAGAGTAATTAAATTCGTCTCCATATTAAAAATAAGCTTGATTTTTTAAAAAAATGCTTGCTTTTTACCTATTATTAATCAAATTTTAAATAACTTCATCTTGTATTTCTATTTTCATAAATCCAATATAATTTTAAATGCTTTTGTATTAATTAATAATAATTTTTTCTGCTTAAATTTTTACAGGTATTTTAAAATTATCAATTGTTATCAAATTTACTTCTTCCCAAGGCATTTTATTTTTGGCTATATTTGCAAATTATTCAATTATTATATAGTATCTTTATAATGGTTCAACAAAATCTAAAAGACCTTATTTCATTGTTATTTATCTAAATTTTTCATTATTAAGTCCTAAAACTTATAAAATCTATTAAGAATAACCTTAATATACCATTATATCTTCTAAATAAGATCCTTTTTTAACAAAGTAGGCACTGTATTTACAGCTTTTAATTTTTTCGATTAAAATGGGCTTAATTTTTTCCTTGGCTTGGTCCCATAGTTGTTTTTGATAGTTTCTTTCTTGATCTTTTTTATTAATTTTGTTCATTTTTATTTTAAAATCTATTAAAGTTTAATATTTTTTTAATAATATAGCGATTCCTCTTGCAAATTAATCACCTAAAGAATTTAGTTAATAAATAACAATTTTAAAATCACGAATTCCTTTTTATTTCTAATCTAAATTTATGTGCACAAATTAATTAAATATATCTACTTCTATACTATTTACTATTTTAAATTCAGATAAAGGCGAAAAACGGCTTTCTATACCCTTTAAGAGGTCAAAATCGATAGATATATCTCCAACTAAGTAATATTTAGTGGTTGTTTTGACATGATTTTTTAATTAAAATTTACATTGAATTTTTGTTTATTTTTCAGTTTTTTATTCTTTTTCTTAAGTTTATTCTTATTCTTATTTTTATATTTTATTTATTATTTATTATTTATATTCATTTTCGTTTTCATATTTTTTTTATTTGTTTTTGCCTTTTATATAATATTATATTATTTTTTTACATAATATATAAGACATAAAATTTAATTACTTATTTATATAATATTATTTTTTTTTTTAATAAATATACTATATTTTTGATTTAACCTGAGGTCTGAGAATTTTAAGACATCGATGCACAAGTGGACATATCGTTAATTTATTGTTCTGTAGTTTTTTCGGGTTTTTAACTTTTTTCAAGTTATATAAGTTGTATTTAATTTTTTTCTTTTTATTATTAGTTCATTTTATCTATGGATTATTAAATTATTTATATAAATACTAATAAAAATATTAAAGTTTTATGTAAAGAAAAGTTTTTATTATTTATATAAGGTTCTTTTTTATTATTTTTTTTTATGTAAAAAATAAATTAAAATAATTAAATTTTTATAATTACTATTTTTTAAAAAAAATAAATAAATAAATATTATTTTTAATAAATTTATTAAATTTATTTTAATCAAATAATAGAAAGAAAAATTATATCTAAATTATTATAAACAAAAATTTGTATATTTAATAAAAAATTTATAATAAAAAATGATTATTTTTAAATTATATTTTTTTTATAAATAATTGATGTTTTTATTTACAACAAAAATATATAAAAAATTATTTTTATTGATTTTTTTTATCAGATTATATAATTTAAATACCAAAAAAAAAAAAATCATATTTTTTAATACATGTATTCCTTAATTTTATTTATATTTAAATATTAATCATTTTAGAATTAAAGAAAAAATTACAAATAAATAAATAGAAATTAATGTAATATTTAAATTATAATATTTTAGATATTTAATTTTCTCATATATTAATTAAAAAATAAAATATAAATTATAATACATTATTACTTTTAGACTATAAAAAAATTTTTAATTAAAAAATTTTTTAAAAATTTAAAATTTTTTGATAATAATAAATTTTATTTAAATAATTAAATTTATTTAAAAAAACTTTAATTATTGCCTATATTTTGTTATATAAATAATATTGATATAAACTTATTTAGAATAAAAATAGTTTTCTATTTAAAAACTTAATATAAATTTTAAAGATTTTTATTTTAATTAACTATTATTTTATTTTAATGGTATTATTTAATTTAATTATTTAAGTTTATTATTTAATTATAATAAACTATATAAATATATATTTATTGATTTTTAATATTTTTTATGATTGATAAAATTTGTATTTACCATTTTAAATATAATCATCATTATATAAATAATTAATTTAATTTTAAAAGCTTATACAAAAATAAAAAATTATTAATTATAATTATTAATCTTAAAAAAAATATTTTCTCTATATAATTATATATTTTTAAAGAATTTTCTAGATATTTTTAAAAAGAATAAATTTAAAATATATATATTTATATAATATAGTTATTTATAAATTTTCAAAGAAATATTTTATTATTTTAGAAAAGTAAATATTAATTGCATTATAAATGATATAAAATAAAAATTAATAATAAAATATATTAAACTAAAAAACTTAAATACTATTAAAATGTCAAAAGTAATTTCTATAAAAAAACTACTTTTTTTAAATGTTTTAGCTTTCCCAATAATTGTAAATAAAAATGTTTTTAAAAATCATTAGTAAAACAAAATACCTAATATTCCAAAATAAAAAAAAAAAAATAGGCTATATAAAAAAACAATTTACATAATTATAATATTAAATAAATGAAATCTGAATATAAAAACAATAAAGATGACACTAATGATATGAATTTGTAAATTTTGTTTTTCTATTATAAAAAAATAATGATTAAAACTAATATTTTATAATATTAAACAAAAAAAACAAATTTAGATTGTTTACAGAAAACAAATAATAAATTAAAGAAGATGAAGAAATGGAAAAATAAAAAAATAAAAATAAAGAAATATAATAAAACACTGAAGAATCTGAAGATAGTGAAAATGAAGATGATGATGAAAATAAAGAATAAAACGATGATGATGATGACGATAAAAATAATGGCATTTTAATCCCTGTTGTAGAATGGGTTAAAGGTATTATTCCAAGAATAATTCCAAAGCCTTAATCAGCTAAATGAAATAAAGAAAAATTAATAACTTAATATTTACGATTAAAATATAATAAATATATATTTTTTTTAAAAAAAATACAATATAATCATTTTGTTATTATTATAAAAAAGAAATTCTAACAATTTAATTTAATATATATAATTATAATTTTAAATATATAAATAGATATATTAAAAATAAAGAACTGATGATAAAAATAAGAGCTAAAATATTTTAAATAATTCTTTATAAATTAACTCTATTAATATTAATATATTGACTTTTAGTAAATATATAATTTTTAACCTATTTATTTTTTTTTAAAAAAAAACTCTATTATCTAAAAAATATACAAGTATTTATTTTTTCTCTTGTCTCTTTTTTTTTTTTTTTTGATGATAGAGTTATTTTAGAAAAATGAATTTGTATAAGAAATAATTTTTTTTTTTTTTTATAAATAAAAAAATATTTTAATATTAATAAAAAATTTATAATAATAAGTAAAATTAATTTTTAAATATATATATTATATCATAAAATTTTTAATGGGTATTGTTTCATCTACAACAGTATTAAAAAAATATTAAATAGAAATTAATATTTTACTGAATATAAATAAAATAAGTTGTCTTCAGAATTAAAAGATAAAATTATGAGTGTATTTAAAAGAATAGATAAAGACGGATCAAAGTGCATAGATAAAGAAGAAACATTAAAATTTTGGTTTAAATATATGTTTTAAATAAATATAAATTAATATAAAAAATATCAAGGCAATCTAACTTTGCAAAGGTAAATACGGATGCATTATTTAAAGCTGTAGATGTTGATAATAGCGGAACAATTACAGAAGATGAATGGTTACAAATCTGGATTACAGTAAAAGAGTCAGGGCATTCTGAATAAGAAATAGAGGAAGAAGTTATTCTTTTTTTAAAAATAAATAAATTTTTATCTATTTAAAAAGTTAGAAAATTTGCTTTTAGGATTCTCATGGGTTTATTTCGATAAAAATAATAAATGAATAAACGAAATACATTAAAAATATTTATTATTTTTTATTTAAAAATGGTAAATTTAATTAATATTTAAAAAAATGGGAAATATATATTTTAATAAAAAAAGAAATATAAAAAAAAATTAAAAACAATATTTATTAATAATATAAATTATATTAAATAAATAAAATATCAAAATGATAAAAATTCAAACTAATTAGCACATTCTTCTTAAATGCTAAATACTTTAACCTAAGGCATAACCTAGCTAGCGAACTTATCAAAATATGTAGAATTATAATTAGGATCATTTCTAATACTATCTCCATTCCATATAAGGGGGTAATTATTCAAAGGGTAGGTTTCGTCTTTAGAATTACAAGCATTTGCATTTCCGAATAGAAAATTCCATTCGAAAAAATTGGAATATAAAGCAAAATCTTATTTATATTAAGTTTAGAGAAGATATTTTGTTTAATTAAAAAATTAACAATTTTATTCAAATGAATGTTTTTTCCATTCATTACATTATGAAAATTTTAAAATAATACTTTATCTTATATTCATATCAAATTTTTCTTAATTAATTTTTTATTAAAATATTTTATGCATTATTATAATTTTGTTTTCTTATTTTTTTCTTTTAGATTATAAAATAACTAGTTCATCACATTCTGTAAATATTCAGTCACGTTTTATGTTATAGGGCATATTGTAAAACTTAAATCTATTATTTTATATCCAGCTTCCAAGGCATTGTTATAATTTTCCAATATGTAAGGGTTTGTTTAATTATACGTGTAGGCATTTAATATTAAATAATCTTTATAACCTTTTTCTCTTAAACATTTAAATTAGTCTATCGATGTCTTATGAAAGGCATAAACTCCTTTAAATTTTAATTCTCTATAGATGTTTTCACATAATATATAATAAATAAATTAAATGAGTACAATTATTTTTTTCATTTTCATTTTTGTTTTTGTTTTTTTTAATCAAATAATAATTTTATTATCTTTTAAATTTTTTATTTTAAAAAAATATGTAAATTTTTTTACTCTTCTAACAAAAAATATATAAAGAAATTATAATTATTATTCGATTGTTTATTTATATTCATAATAATTTTTTATATTAATAATAAATTATTAAACAAAACAAAAAACAAAAGAATCCCCTTTTAAATGAAATTATATTATTATAGAAATATATTCAATTTGTTAGTTTTATAAAAATCAAATTTTTATACAATTTAAAATTTAAAATAAAAAAATAAAAAAGATTTTAAAAAAATGATGAAAAAGGATTTAAAACCATATAAAATAGTTGGTGGAGAAAAAGTAATCAATAAAGTAGAAAAATCATCTTATTATTAAAAAAATTCATAATGCAGTTTCATGTTTATAAAGCGTTTAAAGAAATTCGAAGTTGAAAATAAATTAAGCGAAAATAAAAATTTAATATAAAAGCAATTAGAATAATCAGATCCAATCGAAAGAAATAAATCTTGTGGAAAAAGGAAATTTGAAAATAATTAAAATTTCAATTCATCTACTTAAAAGCCTTAAAAACCTTCTATTAAAATAATATAAGTAAAACCTTCTCCAAATGAACATGAAAATAAATTTTTTAAACCCAAATATATGAGATAAGAACCATAAATAAGTGAAGAACTTAAAATTATAAATGAAATGAAGCATAATTTACCACATATGAGGTCTTTAACACCTAATTATAGATAGATTAATGTAACTCATTAAAATTATTATGTTCCTAGTTTAGATTTATAAGCTATTAATTAAATGAAATATGAATTACCGCATATGAGAAATCATAAACCTTAAACAGCTAAAAGCCATATTAATAAAAACTCATCGGAGTTTTCTTTAAGATGGGAATGAATTAATATATATGTGTGTGTTTTTTTTCTTTTTTTTTTCGAAATTTTTTTCTTATAATATAAAAATATTTCTATTATATTCTTTTTATTTATTTTTAATACATATATATGATTTTATATTTATATATAACTATTTGTAGATGGAAATTGTATATATCTTCTATTTCAATTTTAAATACTATTATATATTATAAAAATTAAAATAAAATAAAAAAAAAATTAGAGATTTATTTATTTATTTAATATGGGATTTTTGAAAAATATTTTTTTTTTAAAAAAAAATATTTTTTGTAAATTAGTAATCTAACATTTATTATTAAGATTTTTATAATTTTTTTTTTTTAAATATATTTATTAATTTTAAATTTTTTTATTATAATTAAAGATTTTGTGTCCTTTTAAATTTTTTATTTTTTTAATTTAGAAAAAAGAGGGAATTTTATTTTTATTATTGTAAAAAATTATTATTTAATAAAAAAAAATAAAAATAAAAAATATATTTTTAATAAAGTAAAATCGTAAATATAATAAAATAGAATTAAAAAATATAAACATTATTTAAAAAAAATGATTCAATCATAAAAAAGTTAAAGTAATTAAATAAAAGTATAAAATTTGTTGAATGAGGCAATCGAAGAAAACGAAATAGTAATAAATAATAATAAATACCAAAGGCCTATTTTTTATAAAAATAAATATTAAAAAAAAAAAATAAGTTAAGAAACAGAGTAACTGAATTAGAAGCATTATTAGTAGCTGCATAAGATGAAATAGAGAATAGAGATTAAGTAATATAAGAGCTATTATAAAATGTATGCAATAGTGATTAAAACGATAATAATAATAATTAAAATAATTACAACGATGATAGCTAAAATACTAATACCAATAGTCATTAAGAGATAAATAATAAATAAAAAAATAATGCAGACAATAATTAAATAACTAATGTAATATAAACTATTATTATTTTATTATTTTTTTATCTCTTATTTATAATTTATATGTTTTTTATAAATGTTTATATTTATTTTATTTTTATTATTAAAATAAATAGGAACAGCTTAATTTCTCAAATATAAAAAAAAGAATAAAAAAAATAAAAAATGAATTAAAAATCCTTTTTATATTTAAAATAATATTTAAATTTATTTATTTTTATGAACATTACTTTAATTATAATTTTTTGTTTGTATTTATATATTTTTAAATAATTAAATTATTACTTTTCAATTAAAATATAATTCTCTAGTTGAACAAAATATAAAATAAATTTTTTATTCTTTAAAAATATGTAATATATACATTTTTAAAATTAACTAAAAAAATAAAATATTTTTAAAGTATTTTTAAAAAAATAAAAAATTTCTACTTTATTATAATTTTTAATTATAATTATGCTCATAATTTTTTTAAATATATTAAATAATTAGACAAATTTAATGTTTAATAATAGAGTAAATTTTAAGAATAATTTTTAAAATAAAAAAGATTAAATTATATTATTTAATTAAAGATAAATAATAATATATCTGAAATAAAACAAAATTAAAACTTAGTTTTAAATATAGAAATTACAAAAATTTATTTATTAAATTTAACGATTTTAATAAGTTAAAAATAAATTAAAATTGCTATTTTTTATTATATATTATAAATATATATATATACACGTATTTTATAAAATTAAAAATAATAATTTTATTTTAATTATTTTATTTTGTTAATTTTAAAATATAATTTAAAAATGATATAAAATAAAAGCATAATTATTAAAAACAAATCATTTAAAAATAGAGATTTTTTTTTAGAAGATTAAAAAAGCTTTTTATTAAGAGGTTCACAGTTATAAACGTCAAAATTTGTTCCCGTTTCGGGTAATTTTGTATCTAAATTAAATATAATAAATAAAAAAAATAAAGAATCAAAATAACCTATAACATCAGAATAATATTTATTATAAAAATAATAGCCTATGATTAAAAAGTTATAGCCTTTAAATTTCAATAAATATAATGCTTTAGTATAATCTGCACTTTTAATTGAAGATAAAGTAATAAAATAGGAAACAAATAATAAATTTTATAATAAAAATATACTTTAACCTTTAAATAATTTATAAAAAGATTTATAATAAAGCTAATAAATTATTTAAAATAATACAGAAAATGAAGAAAAATAAAATATATAAACTAATAAATTTATAAATAAAGAAGAGTTTATCAAAAACTTTATTAATATTATTGATGAATTAGAAATTATAGCTCCTGAAGATAACAAAAATAATAATAAAGAAATATTTGATAAAATATAAAAGCTGATAAAAATTAAAAATAAGGTTAAAAATAATATAAAAACTATTGATAAAGATTTAGAAACTATTGTTAAGAAATTAATGAAAATAATAAAAAATATACTAAAAAATAAATAATTTTGTACATAATATGAATACATTTGTTAAAGATTGAAAAATAACTATATTTGAATTTTATTAACTTATACAATAAATATTTAGATTTTAAAAAATTTTCTGATAATTTACTATTTGTTTAAAAATTAATTATCAATATAAATAAATAATTTATTTTTTATTTAAATAAATTTTATTAAATTTTTTAAACAAAAAAACTAAAATAAAACGTAAAAGTAAAAAATCAAAATATGTATTTAAATTAATAATTATAAAAATAAAGACAAAAGAAATTTTATTTTTTAAAATAATATATATATTTATATATATATTTAATATTTATATATATATATTTAAAACATTTCTAATATTATTTAATTAACCTGTTATTATTTTTAGATATAACTAGGTTTTTAAAAGTTAAGATATTTAATTTAATACTTGAAATTATAAAAGATGCATTTACTATTTCATATTAATTTAATTTAAAGGAGAATATTAATTAATAATATAAGTTTATATAATAATATTAATATTTAATATGGTTATTATGTATATTTATTATTATTGTTATAACATATATAAACTTTTTAAAAAAATTAATTTCACTTTTAATGCATTTTTTGATTTTTTATATTAAACTTTAGAAATTAATTTTTAAATAATTTATCTTTTTGATCGAATATATAAATATTTGTAAATAAAAACCTTTATTT